CCCTACTTTCCCTCAGAAATAGGTGCAACTAACCAACCCAAAAAGGCAACAGGAAGAGAAAATCATGCAGCACATGACCCTGCTATGCCTTTACATAAAGCTTGCACTATTGGAAAGCTGGAACAATGTTATTTAACAGCATCATCAGGGAGTTGCTGAATACACTGTTTTCATGTTGGGGAAGTCAAGAATACTATAATAGTATATGGAAACCTGGAGTGATGATAACCTAGTGGCCTGCAGTAAGATTTGTACCAAATTATCTAATTTGGAGAAGACATTTCAATGAATTTTAAAGCATGTCTGCCATGACATTTTACGCTAGTGGCACTTAGTGAAAATATACATAGCACTGACACCCAGTTTTCCTAGGTGACAAAGAATACTGGTAACGATGCAGCTGTAGCTACAACAGAACACTTTACACATTTGCAGTGTCTAAGAACCTTACAATAAAACTCTCAAAGTTAATCAGAAACAGGATTGCTTCAGGAAAATATGTAGCTCTCACCTAAACATGACAATGCTGCTATTTTGTGTTGTATGGAAGCTTGTAATGGTGCCCACCAGTTTCATCTTGAAAGAGAGAGAAGGACAGCATAGGAACCAAATGATGTTTTTTGATTTTTCCACTAAGTCAGCACCTGGTAGTTTTTAGTCTGGTATGTTTAAGCGTGCTTTTATATTTAAGCTTTACTTACATGATGTGTGGCACACAGCCAAGATAATGTCTATTTTGAAACAATATATTTAAATAAGCAGCTACTGAAACCTGGGCAAGTGCTTGTGTATTCCTCATATTCTTGTACAAGGAACAGAAAATAAAACCTCTATTCATTTTGACTCTGCTGCTCAGTTAGAGCTTGTTTACAAAACCCCTACTAAACATATTTAGGCTAAGTGTTTTTATAAGACTCACTACCACCAGAACAGATAACTCTGTTTTAAGCAATTTTCTGTTGTCAGATAGATTTACACCACAGCAATACTTAAATTTCTGCACTGCCTCTGTCTGATAAAGTACCCGGGCCTTTATATTCAAGTAACTTCATGAGTCTACTTCCCAGAACAGTTATGTTTCCATGAAACTACGACACACACAAACAGGCAAAAAGTAACTGTCTTGAGAATCAGATTAAATTACGTTATTCAATTATGTAAGTGAATGACTAAAGACTTTACTGCTTTCAGAAAAAAATAGTAAGATTTACTCAGGATTTTTCACCCCTCCTGAACAAGTTATCAGTATATATAAATATTTTATGTCGCTAAATAACACAGAATGCTTAGAAGCAGGTGGTTAATACTGGGAAAGAGGTCCATTATCAAAATATGAGAACCTGGAAAAATATTTCAACAAAAGAATTCAAGAACAAACTTGAATGTGAAAGAAGCTGTTCATGCATAGATTCAGCACAGGAAAAGTAGCAGAAGCAGGAGTGGAAAAAAGAAAGTGGTACATGAAAACCCTTATTGGCAGAAAGAGAAGAGATTCAGAAATTTAATAAGTATTAAAAATGAAAGTTGCACAGGCTCTCCAAAATGCCAGAGAAGAGAGTCTGTTATACAGTTTCTCTTAAATTATCCATAGATTAATAATGGGCAGCCCCAAGAGTTGACCTCCAAGAGCAGATCTTTCTGAAAAGAGAAGACTATGCCAGATAACCAAAGGTGGGGGGAACAGACTACACCACATTTCTGCATCTGCTGCCAACCTTAACATCACCACTTCCACCTGAACCAAGCACATTCCTCCATCCTTGTTCCCTGGCTCTGTTTATTCGTTCCATCTGAAGGAGAAAACAATACAGGAAAACATAATTCAAGGAATCACTAAGCAAAAATTGAACTTCACTATTAACACATTTTAAACATATTTTACCCTTTCTTTTTCCAATCTTCTCATTTCATCTGCCTTCAGTAAACTGATCTGCAATGTTCAAGGAATAAATACGTTCAGTAAATGCGAAATCAAACTACTCCATATTCTTACAAAACATATATCACACCACCACACCACATGTTGTTTCATTAAAATTACCATGGGTGGAAAAAGAAAGTGTCAAGAATCTTGCCTACCTGCTCTCTCTGGCGTTTTTCTTTTTCAGGCAATTCTAACCTTTTCTTTTTTGAAGGTTCCTGAAAAATAAGCATATAATTTGGTATTTATTACTGAGCCATTATTCTGTCAAGTCTCTGCCAAGATAGGTTAGTGCTCCAGTTGCTGGTGCATGTCCACAAAGATTAGAAAAAAATTTTTTTTTAAATTACTGTTACATAGTGTTTGGAAAAAAGATAAGGAGGAAAGGTTTGAAGGTATAATTTTGCCATTCTTGCTCTGGACTTAGCTTTTGCTTAGTTTGAAAATTAACAGATGATTTCATAATACCTCAAACATTTTCCTCCTTTCTCCTCCTGGACTCATTTTCTTCTTTGTAGTTGAAAAGGCCTGGATAAAAGGTGAAACTTCAAATTAGATAGCACAATACCAGAATGAGAGAAAATTTCTAATCAGAAGAAAAAAAAAAATCTTAAACCCACAACTTAGTATGTGCAAAATGGGGTTTAAAATAATTCATTACTCAGTAGGTTTTAAATTAAAAGCACTGCTAGGATCTAAGGGTAAATGCTACTGTACTTGTTCATCCTCTACCAAAAGCTCTGTCAGAGCTGAAGGCAATAATTTTAATATCTGTTTTGTCTTAATTTTCCCTCTCTGGCAATATCATTCTGCATTACAATCTTTTCCTATTATAAGTCTTTAAGGGTCCCTAGATACTAAGATTATCTTTTATTTGGAGAATAGATTTGTTAGGTTATCCTTAGGCTCTTTTGCTTGGGTAACTCTAACCAAGGTTCTTGTTACCTATGGAAGAGGAGAACACAGCCATTATTGAGCACCTGGTAAAGAAGCAACTATACGTAATAAACCATGTTGCTTACTCTATCCTTCTCAAAAAAGTGATGGTTACTTCTAAAGCATTTTTTTCTGACCATACTAGTACACAGACAACTTCATAATATTTTCTTTTGAAGACCTAAAATCCTATCAAATGAGTACTTTAAAATGAAATATTTCAGAAGTTGGAAGCCTTTAGAGACTTAAGTCGAAGTAGTTCAACTATAGCGAGTTAATATACTATCACTAAACAAAGGAGATGATTGTTAAATGCTCTTCTGAAAAGTCAGTTGAGAGCTGCAAGCTCAGACTACCCTGGAACACAGCAAAGAGAAGAAAACGTATGTAACACTGTAGCCACTGTTTCTATCCTACATCTTATCCCTTGTCACTAGATACAAGCCACACAGAGAATGTATCTTAAAATTGCAATGTTACTGACTCCTTATATGCAGCAAGAAGTTATTTCTTCAGTCTCTACCCTGCGACTTTGAGTCTACACAAGTTGGATTGGTGTTGGCTGGTGAAACTGATTATAGAGAGCAGCAGACTAGTAAGACAGTGGTGCAACCAAGGCTTAAAACATAAAAACCCCACAGTCTCACAAGGACACACAAGAAATCTGTGTGTTCCCTGCTCTCTTTTTCAAACTGTGTATCACAAGCCAAGAAGGCTTGTGTGATCAATGAGTTTTTCCTTAAACCTCCAATAACTTTTGAACTTCAGGGATAACTTATATCTCAAGGATAATTTTCTATCCACCTATCAAAGTTGACAGATGGATAGAGATCTCAGTATTATATTCCCCAAAGTGCCACAGGGAGAAGGAAAGAAAAAAAAACCTGAAAAGCATAACAAAAAAAATATTACTTATTCAGAAGAACATTTGAATTAGTTCTCTTGCTGAACTAGGAGCTTCTTGGTTTCTAGTTCTTTGGCACATGCATATAGCATAAAACTAACTGTATCATAAACATCTCCTGGCCATGCAGTAATTAAAGGAATAATGAGAGAGGGAAAAAAAGTTTTATGTAATAAGGAGTACAGAAAAGATGATTCAAAGAAAGATGAAAAGTCCCCTGTGAAAGTATACAGAAGACTATTTCTTATTAGCTCATGGAATTAAGTCTGGAAAATGCCTTTTCCAATCACACAATTCCTCTGGCTGACAACACTTCAGAAAATGACTAAAAAAGCTTTCTATATTTTGAAAATTTGCTATTATTTTCGAATAAGAAGAAAGATTCAAAGATTCTTATCCAGCATCAATGACCTTGCTATACCTGACAGACTTCCAATATTTCTAAGAGTGGTCAACACCAACAAAGGAACTGAAAACATGCAAAGCACATCTAATTCAGCAGTGGAATTAAAACAGAAATCAAAGGTAGCAGTCTCCAAAAATCATTATATTAAAACCGACTAAAGAAACAAAAAAAATCAATAATGAAGCAAGCCAAACATTTGAACTAATACTACTTTCACTGCAGATGCATGTGTCCAGATAAAAGACATTTTGAAAAGGAATGCAAGGTATTTCCATAGCATTTAAATAAAGTTTGAGCAAAATAGTTCAATTTAAGTAACTTAGCTTCTTACCTGTCTAGATTTAGCCAATGGCTTCTTCTCATTAGGCTTTTTAGCTGCATCACAAGACTTCCTGATCACTAAAGGCACTCCATATTTTGCAGCAGGTTTGGTAATTTTCTGAGCTGGTGCAACTGAAGTCAGTATTTGTTCTTGAGCTGGTCTTTTAGCTAAAAAAAAAGAAAAAAACAAAAAACACCAAACAAAAAACCCACACAAACCAAAAACCCACAATATTTTACAGCTATCCAGGCTGGCCAGTATACCATATTTCCCCTTCCCAAGGTCTTGGAACAGCAAAGCTGGAGGAAAATGCTAACATTTCATTCACACGAGCTGATGCCTAAGTGCAATATACCCAGTTGTCCAAAACAGCTCAAGTAAATTTCATGCTTGATAAGGAACAGCAGAACATAGTCCCTGAGCTTTTCACTCTCAATGCTTCCAACTCGAAAACCAAAGCTTATTTCAGCTGCCATGCTTCATTATCCCCTTGTCATGGACAAAGGGAAAAGTTTTCGTAATGGAATGGAGACACAGGCCTCCCTCCACTAACAACACTGGACTGCAACTTGCAACACTAATGTCAGCAGAAGATGACCTCTGGAAGAGCTTCAATGGCTTTCAGGGATATTGTTTTCCCTGTATAGTTCCTGAAAATATGCCAATATTGTGGATTTGATTCTGTGCTAGCAGGGCTCTCTTACTACAGAATAGCAAGACAGCAGTGAAACACTTAGATAACGCTATCAGAAGACACCAAAGCACCTGCCACAGCTTCAAGAAACTGCAAGGAAACAGAGTAAAGGGAAAGAAAATCTAGGGGGGGGGAACCCAACATAGAAATTATTTCCAGTATTTGCAGTCTTCACTGTCTCTTTTAAGTTTGGAAGAGTAGCATAACGTAAGAGGAAAAAGTACACCTAAAATATTACGGACAACAGTTTTTACTTGCATTGTTTGTACCCCACATACATCCAGCTCCCAAGGGGAGAAGGTAAAATTGTTTCTCTTTTTTTTTTCCTGAAACTTCTAGAATCAGGTATAAAACCACACCAAAACCAATAAAAGAACAAAGTTACATACACTATCTTGCCAGAGCTGAAAAGAAAAGCACTTTACACGCTTACTTACCAGGTGCAGCATGTGGTCCAAACTTCTGGAAGATTTTGTGATTGAATTCTTCTGCAATAAGCTAAACAAAAGGTTGAACAGTTAGCTAACAGTATTTATGTCTGCAGCTAGAAAGAACTCCTTTTCAGAGAAGTGTGCAACTCCCAGTAAGCACCTAATTAATAGTATTTACTGTAACTTAAAATTGAAATGAATACTCAACTTCATGTATTCAACTTAGTATCACAAACGTTAATATGAACCTGTATTCAGTATTTTCAAATATTTTTGGCATAGCTATTCAAATAATTTAAAAAAAAATTAATCTGATTTCTGTGTGGCACATGTTACCTCATTTATGAACTAGCTAAGAATCTAGAAGAAAGTTAATGTGAGCATCAACATAGTTTTGTGCATAGTTCATTTTAGATTTCTGTATAGTTGCTAAATTTAACTTCAAATTCTCAGAGAGCTTGTGTCAAAAAAACCCAGTCCTTTAGAAATGTTTGCCATTTTTAGTTTCTCTATCCTTTTCAGGATGGAAAGATGACTACATATGTGGATATCTAGGAACAATATATACGGTGTACTGTCAGGCATACCAAATTAGCATAGCAAAATGTGGAAAACGGCCCTACTGGAGTAAAAAAAAAAAAAAAAAAAAAAAATAAAAAAAAAAATCAAAGTCTAGACACAGAACATTCAAACATGAATAGGCCTTCCTCTCACATCACACCAAATACTGTACATAGCTTGTGGGATGTAAGAAGTGCAGAAGCTGAATGGGCGGTGACCGTGAGGTTGGGAAGAGGAGGAGCAAGAGGGTGTGGCTTTGCTATAAAGTTTAGGGCTTGAAGATGGGCGGCGTCACGGGGAGCATGCGTACTGTGTAGGCTGTGTCTCCTTGACCCGCAGACGGCAGGGTGTCTGCGTGATCCTTCAGGTAACCTTAAAGTTGAGGCAAGAACCAACAATAGCTCTGAACGCAACACCTCAAAAACCATACAGTAGAAATGAAAAAGCTTCAAAGAAAAGCATCAAGGATCATCAGAAGTGTTGAAAAGCTTCAGTACAAAGAACAAGTAAGTTTGCTCTGCAGCCTGTAAAAAGATGAGTGAGATGTAATGCAACAGATCTAGAATACCACATGTGATTTTGCAGAGAAAGCAGAGAAACACACAAGGGCAGCAAATGGTAATACCAATATAAGAAGTGGGGTACAACTGAATACAAGGAGGAAAGTTTATTCTAAACAAAGCTGATGCTTTCTGCAAAAGTGGCAGACCTGTGAAATTGCTTACTGATCATAAAAACTTACACAGGTTCAAGGAGAAATCAGGTAAATTCACAGACATGGTATCTATTGAGCATAACTAAATACCACAAAAGATGCTTACTGAGCTGATGCAATTGAGAACAAAAGATGAAGGCTGGGAGAGTATTATAGGATAATGCCACGTAGGCTTGCTGCCTTCTTATACGCCTCACCAGGCACTGTTTTGGCCAGTGTTCACTGCTCACAGGACACAGAGTGAGACTGACTTTTACCTGACCCAGCACCATGTTCTCATTTTCTAATATTCTGCTCTGAAACTTCTTGCTGAATCCAAGTGCCACAACCAGTGCTACCAATACAGAATATTCAAAGGATGGGAACTGCAAAGGCATTTTTTAAACAGTAGAGCTACTTGCAGACAGAGAATGGCCATGCTACAGACCATCTTTCTAGAGACAGAGGGGCACACCAGGAATGTGTTACTTAAGGTTCTGACGACAACTGACAGCATGTTAACTGAATAGTTCCTAAACTACAAAGTTTTAAGGAATAGTCTTTATAGAATGTTGAGCTATCCAGATTATTTTGATTTGCTTAGAGGCTACCAGCCAGTTACAATGGATGCTGAGGAGCTAAAACTAAAAAAAAAAAACAAAACAAAAAAACCACACACACCACAAAAAAACCCCCACAAAACCCAAGAGCCAAAGTGCAGAACTTAGGACTTTGCACATGATGGCAGAGAAATTTTTTTAACCTGTAGAGTCTGCCATCAAAAGACTCTGTAAGCAAGAAGTCACGCATGAGAATCGTCTGCTACTAATGGTATTTCAGTGATCTTGAAGCTTTTATTTGGGTGGTAAACTGCTGTAACAACTGAAGTGTGGTATTTCCATGATAACAGAGCTACTGACAGAAAATAAACATGACTCTTCAGTACCTTTCAAGAAGCCTTTTCTTTTTTCCCAAATTGATGCTAATTTAGATCCACTCTTTACTGTAACTTAGTAACTATGAAAATTAAGAAAGAATTTATCTAAAAGTAGAATACTCTTGTCATTTAAGAGTAGGATTTCAGCAATAGCTGCAACATGTTGAAGATGACAACTATGGAAGATCTCTTAAGCTTAGACTACAGAAAGCAGAGAACAACCACATTAACCATGGATGAAACTGAAAGCAAACAGGCATTACAGCTGTGTCACAGAATGACCACCTCCGGCTGAACACAAATGTACCAGCAGTTGATACATTTAGTAAAAGGTACTTTCTGTGTGGGGAGTTTTTTTGTTTTTAAGATCATGTAGCACCTTTAAGTCGAAAATGTTAGTGATTCAGTCGAAAAAATTGTGCGCAAGTATTCACACTCAATCTTGGAGAAATTAGTATCATCATCTGGTAGTGTCTATCGCTAATTATACTTTGCCTGACTATCCCCAAATAAAAATTTCATATCCATTCTAGCTACTAGAAATAAAATCAGATCAAAATATTACTGTTGTAAAAGTCAGAACAACAAACTTATCTGTAAAGACTTCTGAATCTTACCTTTCATTGGGACTTTAATCTGAACTAGTTGAAAGTCTGTTTCACATACAACTGAAATTCAAATTATATATGGCCTTCTCATGAAATTTCTTTAGTTCTGAGTTAGAATCCACTAGAATGCTTTATACTCACTGAGGTCTCCTTTTGCATTCTTTTCCTCCATGTCATTTCTCTGTCTCTATTTATTTACCTCATATCAGTACTATTCACTTGTTAATCTTTATCTCTTTTGATTAGATTTACCAAGTAGCAAGCAACAACTTTTAGGTTATAGCAACTTCTTCTAGGTTATATACATGCGATACATTTAAACATCAAGAAATTTAAATATTAGTTTATTTAGCAGTATTTCACAGAACACACTTTCAGGCCATTCCAAATTCCAACCAAAAAATGGATTGAAGAAATTACAATAAAGAAGCGACGCTGAAGTCATTATGAAAAAATGCGTATCTAACCAAATCAACATCTCATGATTTCTCACTATTTAGAAAACCACAAAAAACGATGCACTTAAGAAAATGCCAGGTTAAAATTGTTTGTGGAAACTACCAAATACTTAAGTAATCTGAGATTTTTCTTCGCAGTTCATAGTAAAACTTTTTTTTTCCCCTCAAATGAAAGTGTCTCTATAAAAGCTCTAGGGAGTACCATTACTCCAATTTCTCTTGTTTTATATTGACATTAGAATAAAGAAGAGGAAAAGTGCTATGAAGTTCTTAACAAAATTAGAATTAAAACTAACTCCATACCTGTGGTGTGAGAAATTTTTCAACTCGTTTGGCTATAAAGTTTTTCTCCAATATGGAGTTTACTGATGGTCTATTCCTAGGATTCCTTTTAAATAACTGTGACAGCAGATTACGTAGGTCATAGGAGTAATGCATAGAAACAGGAGGAAAAGGTCCAGAGATTATCTTCAGTACCAAGTTCTTCATGTTACCAGCTTCAAACTATATCACACAAGAAAGTAAAGTTACTACATATTACTTACTGTCTGTCCACATGTAAGGCTGCATATAAAGATGAAGAGGAAAACAAAAAACCAACACACCTTCCCTTTCCTCAACACACCAAAACAAGTTTTCAAGGCCATCAACAGTTTACATCAGCAGTTTAAAATAACGTGCTGCGAAGTACAGCATAATAGATATTTCATACCATAGAGCTATAAATCTTGTTAACAAATAATTATTTCCCTCCAGATCTAGGCTGACAATGGTATACAATTAAGGATAAAATATTTATATAATTATCTACTTGATCTTCTCTCTCAAACACTTTCAACCACCACATGCCCTCTGCCCTTTTTAGCAAAGCCACTCTTCAAATGAAAGAATGTAAAGCATTCACACTCATTCAGTGTAAAATCCAAAGGAATGCTTACACTTCAGCTTAAGCTCAGGAAGCAGAGTGCACCATTGCAATTCCTTTGTACAATAGAAAGAAAACAGTACCTATCACCCAGCTCACAGAAAACAACCTATTGCCATCAACTCTCAGAAAGGCAACATTGTCAGCATTGCTGCCACAGAAAAGGCCACGCAATAAGAAATTACAAAAGCTTGAAGTGAAATTAAATCCTTACTCGTTACCCCTTTTTCTTTCAATTTTCATGTTTTAATCTCTTTTAATAAAGATAGCTATTTAAAAAAAAAAAAAACAAAACAAACCACCAAAACAAGATAGAAAAAACTTTTGTTTGTTTCCTTCCTAACTAGATAATGGATGATAAAGATGTATTCTTCAAAACAACGCACAAATAAAAGGCAACTCTTTCACCTTGGGACTTTTTTCTAAAAACTATTTCTGTTCTAAACAGAAATGCATTAATTTATCTGCACAAAAGCCAACAGTCCAAATTCAGACTTTCAATGAAAACGTGAAGTTTTTCGAAAGAAAGGAACACTATTCACAGTATCATTTGTTACAGCACCTAACAATTTTTTTCAGCTAACACAGTTCATTAAAAATCTACACTGAAAACAAAATATACAGTTTTTGGAGAGATTGGCATGAACCAAAACACAGATGGAGAATGTTGGCAGTATAGGAAGAGCAGATTAAAACGTTGAAGGTAATTTTAAACAGCCACCATGAAAGCCTTTCATCAACTGCAACACATTTGTGTAACATCAGGAAAAATCCCTGTTTGAAATCAATGTTCTTTTAAAGAAACAAGGTTTCTACTCACCGCATGTTTAAGTGTGCACATCTCATAAAGAACACAGCCAAGGGCCCAGATATCACTAAATCAAAGAGAACATACTTAAGAATTAGTTCTAGGTATAACATTGCCGTGTAACTTGTATCTGTGAAGTCTGTCTTGGAAAAGGAAAAGAAAAGGCTATATTTTGAGTATGCACAAGCTCCCTTGTGTCTTCCACTGCCCTAACCCACAAAACCCCAAGCAAAAAAAATAATTCAAGAACCAAAAATAAGGCCATCCTGAAAACCAGTTTGGATTATTTTGGCTCCAAATTTTATTTAGACCTTTTCATATGAACCACCCCAACTGGAGAAATTAGACAAAATATGGACAAAACTTGCTTTCTTTAAGCGTATGTTTGCTTGAGGTCTTTGAATTAAAGAAACAAAAACCCAAACAAAACCCACCACCCAGTTCAGCAAATAAAATTCTTGAAGTCCATTACTCTGTTTAACATTGACTTACCCTACCCTTACTCATTATATGGTTACACAATTTGGTTAGAATACTGTTGAATAATAAATCCCATGTAGGAGAAATTAAGGGACGAGGAACTGTAATAATTTTTATCTTTTAAGAAACCAATTGAAATTAGTATAAGGCACTCACAGCAATGGATGCAGCAGCTTAGTGAAGCATAAGACTAACTTGATAATGACCACACTAATGACATTAGGAATGCTGTTACCAGCCTACTGCCAGGCCAGCAAAGTATCTTTATGACTTTGTTATCTGAAGCAAGCTGAGCCACCTGTCTATGCACGTGCTTAGAGAATCCAATTGCTGTGTGTGTGATTTCATTCTTAACACGGTTTCACATTCATACTGCATAAATTAAGGCAGTACAACTAGTGCATAGATAGGCAGAAGCAGAGCCATAATTAAGAACACAGCTATATCTAGAACTTAGAGCATTAAGCTAAATCATCTCTGCATCACATCGCTTTGTACTGCACAGAGCTACTAAGGTCCCACTTGTACAGTGAGACTCACTACCTTCCTGGGTGAGAGAGGAACTAATGACTGTGCACCACCATATGAATAGAACAGCTTTTCATTTCTAAAAAGCTCACTTCCTTCTCCTTACCAAAAATGTTTAATAAAATGCTTATTAGTACCTTTTATTGTTGTAAGGTTTATTCTGACATATTTCAGGTGACAGATAGTATGGTGTTCCTATGCAAGTGCGAGCCAACTCAGCAGTACTAAGAAAAAAATAAGGAAGAATGTTAACTAGTTAACTCACTTGAAGTGCACAGATTGTCTTTTCCCAGATCAAAGCAATTTAGATCAAGTCAGAGAAAACAGCATCAAAAAGGAGTTACCTGTTAAGAACTCTGGCGATCCCAAAATCTCCCAGCTGTATCGTTCCATCTTTGGTTAAAAATATATTCTTGATATAGAAATTTTAAGAAGTCTGTTAATTAAAACATTCATACAATTGCACACTTTTTGCTTTCAACGTGTTTTGGGAAGAATAAAGTTTTCTACCATTCGATCACTCTGAAGTCACTAGCAATAGTGTTACTGACCACTATGAAACACCAGATTTATTCTAGTCCTCAAAATTAAAGAAAACACTATTACACATTCTAAAGCATAACTTTTTCTGTCCCCACACATAAATATGAGTAATAGTCAAGTAGCTTCATCAAGTAGCCTGATCATCTTGTACAAATACCAAACTCCTCCAGAAAATTCTGAAGAAAAGTGTTTCCAGTATTAGAAGTGTTTATGTAAAAAGACTGTCTTCCATAACTTGCCAACTTACAGTAGCAAGATATGAACATAATCACCTTGGAAGTAAATTCAGTTAAAAAATAGTTACCTACATACCTGCGACTTTATGTCCCGATGCAAGATTTTTCTATCATGTATGTGCTTCAGTGCTAAACAGATTTGTACAAACCAATCCAGAATCTATGCATAAAAGAAAATGCGACACCACTGTTATTTATCTGAAAGCTTCCCCAGTTACATAAAACTGATTTGATAATATCTAGAGTTATAACTATAACTCAAGATGTTATCCTCTTCCCACAAACCTGTCTTCATTTATAGAATAATTAAAAATACAACATTACTGTCACAATAATGCAAACTTTTTAATGCATATTACTCAAATTAGATATTAAGCCTAAGGCTACTAGTTTTATTACATATTACAAAGCTAACAAAAGTATGCAATATGAATTCGATTGGCTAAAATGACTAAGACATGGAACTTGCATCTTAAAGATTGTACTTTTGCTGTAACCAATACAAAAAGTCTTCTCGCAGTCAGCGAAGAGTCCTAAAAAAGCCATACTGATGTTTACAGAAGCACTTAATTTTATCATCCAGTAATTTTATGTATTTTACCTTAAAAAGAAAAATAGTACAAAGCATTATCAATGAGAAAAGCAACAAACAACATATAACTAGATTATAAACAAGCCAACAAAGCCATTTTCTTGTAAACTTGTAAAAATCGCAACAGAAAAAGGGACTAACAGCAACAACTTTTCCATGTGAAAAGTGGTTTCACAATCCCAACTTAGAAGCACATACATGTCAAAATTACAATATAATGCAAAGTGTAATCTTCACTTTTCCATTCTAAGTTCTCCTTGTAAAAGTGAATCTGATTTAGAAAAATGAAAAGTTTTACAAACTATATCCAAAACATTTCCTGATTACTCTATTCTAAATACCATCAGTAGACCTAATACACTGCTAAGCCTTTCCAACCACAGGTAAATCAAGATCCTACTGGATGCAGACACAAAAGCATAGAAACTATTTCTAAACAAGGAAATGCAAGTCAGTTCCAATAAAAAAATTTAAACCCTACATAACCTATTTTCACTTAATTTAATCAGATCCGTACATAAAATCCTCTCATTTATTCCAGATTCTCCCACAGTACAAATGACTTCATAGCCAGTATAATGGAAAAAGAACATCTGCTAGTATACTTCCAATACAGTATTGAATTTTTTCTAATGCAAAAAAAACTTCTGAATGATGTAAAATTCATACTGCATTTTAAAAGTACACTATATTATACTTCTGATAAATGAAAATTGGTATTACAAAAAAAATCCTGTGCCATTATATATTTAAAAAGAAAATAATTTCAAAAGTTTAAAAATATTCAAGTTGTCCTTCAGTACTTTTTATTTCTCAGATTTGGTCTATTTTGCAAGAGATCCAACTTCTTAAGGCATCTTATACATACAGACAAAACCCCAATTAACATACCCAGGATTTCCAGCTACATTTTTTTTTTTAATTTTAAGATACTACTGTGACTGATAGCAATGGGAATCTCAATTTGAGAACCTCCTTTTAGATAAAGCCATCATATCTACCAAAATAAACCAAAATAATTTAAAACTCATGAAAAAGTATCACGCAACAAAACACTCTAGCAGTAGTTTGCTGTTACCTGATCTTCAGAGAATAAGATTCCTTTCTGGGCATTTATTTTTTTAAAAAGGTCTCCTCCTTCACAATAATCCATGACTATGTAGAGACAGCCATTCTCTGTAAAGTAAAACACAAAGTATTTCAAAGAGAAAAGAAGAGCCACCTTTAACATAACTTTCCAAACATATTTGCTGCAGTCACAGAAAAAGCAACAAAAAATTTAACCTTTTCCTGTGCAGTTTCAGGTATCATTTATTACTCCTTTTTTTCTAAGATTTATTAAAATGCTTTTATTATTTTGAGTTTCACAAGTTTCCCATTTCTGGGAACATGACAACCATCAATGCTCATACTAGACATACAGTTCATTTCAGTGACTGAAGAACAGTAATAAAACTTCCAGCAGACAATGACAGATGGAAACAATTATTTTCTCATTTTTGAATGAAATTTGGGGAACTTCCAAAAATCCTATACAAGTTTCCACTATGAGGTATGAACGTATATAATACATTTCATAGAAAGTTAGTTTTGTTCCCCAATGCAATCTTGTTCAGTTACTGACGAAAAAGAGATTAGGCAGAAGCAAATTGCAAGTTACCAAAACCACGAGAAGTACACTACTCACATACTAGGCATTATTTTGAGAAGAGCTGAATAAATGCATAAAATCAATCACATGCTGCTCAAAAGAAAAGCTCTTATGAAAGAGGTAGTCATAGCACTTAAACTCTAAATAGAGTCAAAATTAATTAAATCAGATAGAGTCGCTTAAATTTCACTCCTGCAGAAAGCTTTGTCTTTCAAAACATCAAACCGAGGATTTTTCTGTTCTGCTTACAGCTGTTTGTATCTTGGTTAAACTTTATAATTAGTATTATTTTAAAAGATGACCCTAGGAGTCTGGATTTCTTGTAGACCTGCTGCTGAAATAAATCTCTCTTATAAACCAAATCAGTATGTTCAAAGTCGGTGTGCTTTAGCAATAAAGATGCAACGTGACATCTTATGAACTACAGATTACAGGATCTACCTTGTAAGAAGAAAAAAGCAAAAAAAAGGGTCCTAAAGAACAGGCCTCTGTTACAGAGAAAACAGAAGCATGGATTTATAAATCAGAAGACTATGGCTGTGCAGTATGACTATGGCACAAAATTCTAATTTAATGAATAGAGAAAATAAAAGCCTCCAATCAAAAGACACATGAAAGTCAGCAGAAAGGGAAGCCGAAAAAAGAACAGTGCTTCTAAACAGTATCTCAAAAATATTTAGTTTTTATTTTAACCTATATGATAGGCTCTTGGAATCTTTTATCTGCTCATTTCCCAAGACATTCACAGCAAAAACAATGTGGTATTTCTTCTTTTTTTCCACAGCCTGATGAAGCAAGGAGTCCCATCTATTTTTCCAGCTCTGAAAGCAATCATGTGATTGCAATTACTGAAGACTGCATTTTAAGACAATAGACTTCGAGATAAATTTGCTCTTGCTAGGTTATCAACACCCCAATTTAGACCATAAACAAGCACCCAAGCCCTTAGGGTATACACAAGCATTCAAGGAGACTTACACTCTGGAGAAACAACAGAACATAAGCCTTTCATTTAAGCATCAACAAAAACTGATGCATGTAAGGAAGAGACATGAATATTTCTGTTTAAGTGTTGCTTTTTTTTTTATTACTATTATTTTTAAATGTGCAGGGCAATTGTGACAAAAATTACAACCAAAAAGAACTGCAGCAAGTAATAAAAGTATGAGAAAGACTGACTAAAGAGAAAAAACACACTGACTTTTAAACTACAGGCAATAAGTAGCACACACAGTCACCTACTAGCATGACTTCAGGTTCTACTGTATTAATTAATCTTACCTTCAAATGACTCCCTATACAGCACAATATTCGGATGTTTCATGTTAGCCAATACAGCAACTTCTCTTCTTGATTCTTCTCTCTCCTTATTTGACATCTTCAAAACAAAAGTAATGTTTTTTTGAGAACAGGAATACAAAAAGAGTGGATCAGTAATTAATAATAATCACTCACCTTAGAGATGTTTATTTCTTTAATAACATACTGTTGGCCATTTTCTTTAGCTTTGACAAGAATTGCTTTCCCAAAGGATCCTTCTCCAATCTTTCTCACTTTAATATATTTATCCATAGTTATCTTCTTAAGGCATCCTTACTCAAGTACTAGGCAAAACAATGCAGAACAGATTCAGTTAGCCATATTTAGTCATCCAGCCTGCCAGGTCATGTTACTTTTTTTTTTTTTTTTTTTCTCAAAATGTCAATCCATTTGTCTCCTCATTTGCATCACATGCTTTGTAGCTTTTCTTACATCTCAACTCTATTTTGGTACAGTTGGATCACTCAGTGTAGAAAAAGGGCTATATTGCTAAAACCGGTTTAATCTTTCATCTTGGCATAGTACATAAAAAAAAAAGGATGTGTTTTATCTTTAAATAAAGCAGGTAGGCAGTGCCGTAACTTCTGATTCAGCTAGCATGCAAACATCACATAGAGCTATAGCACCTGATCAACAATCTTGCATTCAACTTTACTTGTAAGAACTATGACAGTAGGAAGAAAAAAAATCCATGTTGTTTCACAAGAAGCACTAAATACAGTACTTTGGAAGTTAGTCACTACAATGAAGCCAAAAATAGATTGAACTCAAGAGATGCCCAACAAGTTTAGAATCATTATTCAATACAGAAAGGTGTGACCTTAATTCTGACTGAAAACGTAGATAATTTATTTTTCCGTGTGGCACAGAAAATAAATTCATTACAAAATGGTGCAATCAATATTTTTAATGTACTACCTAACCATTTAAGACTACCTTTTGAGATTAAATAGATTACTCAGCTGAATGTTGATGGTGTTTAAGGTTCTATAACAAAAAAACACTTTGGTAAAAATAAGACACTAGTGAGCTGCATGTGGAAGGTATGGCAGCAAAAAGAATTGGCAAAACAAAGACCAAGGTAATAAACATCAAAACAAATTCATGGTAGACTAAAAGGTCATCTTTTCTACAGCAGAAAGAACTTCCATACCTTAAGAAAGTTTCCATAAGCTGAAAAAGACAAAAGGTGCCTATGCTTTTCTGCATCCAAACCTCACTTGAGAGCACTAACAGCATTTGTGTTTCACTGTACCCAACTTCCTTCCAACAGGAGACCTTATTAGCTTAGATCCACACTTCACACACATCTCAGGTGAGGCTCTTCTGCCTGATTTGGGATCACTTTTTGTCACAGAATTACCACACACCAGACACAGATGCTGCTAAAGAGGAAGATGAAGGACCCATACCATGGAGGCAGACTAAAATGAATAACCTTGATTAGTACAGCAAGACAAAACACAAGAGAACTGAAGTAATCTTTTCTGCAAAATAGGAGTGTCTTGGTGTTTCTGGTTTGTGGTTGGGTTTTTTTTTTTTTGGCCTTGAAGTACATATAGTTTAGTATGAAATTGCATATCTAAATAAAGAAAGACTCAGTATTAACATCCATATTCTCTTCTGGGCAATGGTAAAACACAGCAGGTGGGACACAATTTTAACTTCACACGGCTCTCTTCCTACCCCTACTTTGTTTATGAAACAAGCTATGCTGTGCTACATCAAAACCAACAGCATTAGGCATAGCTTAAGGCTCCTACTGCATGCTGTTCTGTGCAAATATACACAATCGATAAGCAGTGGGTGAGAAGGCACAGTTCAGTCAAAGAGGGGATATAATTTTGCGTGAGTTAGATGGCTTATTTTTACCCATGGCACGGGAAATACGAGACTTGAGAAAGGACCTCAGTGCAAACAGGGCGTTGGCTTTTCAGGCCCTGGGCAAGAAGTCATTCTACCCATCATGGAGACACACCAAAGCGGCTTGTGCACGGGGGCGCAACTGACACCCCAACAGACCGACCGACTGCTGGGCGCGGAGAAGTTAAGGCGACAAACCCGAACCGTGCAGCCAGGCCACGACCAGGCGGACGGAAAGCAACACCGCATAGTGCCCGCCGGCCCCAGCACAGCGGCAGGGGAGGCTCCCAGGCCAGAC